TATATATTTGTTTCTACATCCATTTTGGTCATCATTTGTCTAACGTAGCCCCCTCTTACTGGTCGCTGCCCAGTCTTGCAGCAGCAGTTTACTAGTGGAGGAGGATTGTGTCAGAGCCTGCCCCTCTGCCAGCAGAGGCAATGCAGGGACTCGCCCCTGAGCAGTGGGAGGCAGGGAAGCTGAACAGGCTGTAGCTGGGGATTGGGGAACAGCTGGCTGAGGGAAATGTATGCTGCTTGTGCTGCTGTGGATAAACAGGAACATTTAAAGGAAGACAGCTCCAAAAATGATGACCACATCTCTATCTTAGCACTATCTACCTGCTGGCCAAGGCTTGTGTGGTGTCTCTGCTTGGAACATCTGCATTTCCAAAAGCACAAACTTGTTGCAGATCCTTGCACTTCTGTTGGGAAAAAGTCATATAGATGAAGGCACATGATGTTTTAAACGCTGCAAAAGAGGAAGGATAATCATAGCTTAAACTTGGAGGAGGAGGGAAAACATGCACAAGGTGCAACTTTGTTCAATGCTAAATGTGCAGTTACTCTGGAGAAAAAGCAGATGAAGGGGATTCTCACCTTAAAAGACAGCAATATTCTCCTTCATTAGACTCTTTGATTTCAAAAGAAGTTGTTTTGAGTCCATACTGCAGCTCAATTCAGAAGCTGATGCTCTGGGAGGCAGGTGGCTGGTACCTTTCCTCTCTCTGTGTGTATGTGTGGCCTTGTGAAGGACATTTCTGTCTTCCTTGTGAATCCTTGGACCTTCCTGGCTCTGGATAATGTGATAAATCCTGACAAACAGGTACAAGAGGGCAGCAGGTTTTGACAATTTCTGATCACAGAAAAAAATAGGCAACAGCAGTAGAAATGTTTGGTGTTTGAATTGAATGGATTTCCCTTTGAGAGCTGGTAGGAAGACTCCCTGCTCCTCTATGCAAGCAGCATGCATGGCCATTTGACCAACTGTGTGTTTCCATTCAGTCAGGCTAAAGTAAATATCATCACACCTGTTCTCTCAAAATTGTCTTTGATGTTTACAGAGGCATACTTTCTTACAAACTGTGTCTTTTGTTTGAGACAGAATATCATTCCCATTCTTATTCATTTTTGTATTTGTTGACACCACATGGCTGCATTGTCCTAGAAAATTAAAAGATGCTGAGTGTTCCTTTAGTACCCTTCTTGACTAAATAATTTGATGCCAACACTTATACCAATATGTATATCTCTATATATCCATAATATTTTGCAGAATTTACATGACATAATAACTTGGTTGCTCTGAGATGTTCTGTTGCTCTGCACAGTTAACAGCCAAACCCCCAGTGCCTACCAAACAACAAGTATTGAAAACAGAGATACAGGGAGGTGAATGCAGTTCTGCCTAGGAACTATTTCTGCATGTAGCACTGGAGGAAGTGATTGTGAAAGAATGACTTGCGCAAGATGGTTGCATCAGTCTTTCCAGCAATGGGAGATGACTGACAGAAGAAGAGAGACTGACACTGAATTTCAGCTTGCGGAGAAGAAAGTGCAGACATAATCTGTGCTCAATTTTGTGTCCTCAGTCAGCAGCAGTGATGGGCATGCCATGTATGTCAGACAGTGCTGAACTCTTCAGAAGCCATGGTTTCCTTAGGGGAGTCTCCACTAAAGAGAAACCCTGCAAACTGGAATTGCTTCACTTGCTGAGTAGTTAAAGGACACTGGGTAACTGTCAACATAAAGTTTTGCTTGAGGAGCACAGGCTGAAATATTTTCTCACTCCAGGACTGTCACCCTATCAGACCCACCAAAAATCTCCAGCATTTGTTGTGCTTTCAGGTGTGAGGTGACCACTGAGATGCCAGATTACACGATCAGCACACGAGGAGACTGAAACACAGCATGCAGGACACAGGGTAAGTACTTACTCGCTGCTTATTCAGGGTTTGTGGGCACTGTTTGTCTGCAGTAACTAGAACTGTTTACAGTTAAAACTTCTGAGCTTCCCAATGGTGAAGTGTACTTTGGTACATGTGGCATGAAACAGTTCTTTAAATCAAAATCAGTATTGTTCTAATGACATCCACTGTTTGTAGGGTGACGGTAACATCCAGTTCCCATCTATCAGCATTGTTGTTTTACAGAAAAGGGTGATAGACTTGTTTGATTGCATATCAACGTGTTCTGCCTTTCCAGTAAAGAATGTAAATTGCTTACACAGTGTGCAAAAGGGTGTGCCAGGAGGCTACAGAGCTCTGCTTTAGAAGCCCTAAGGCTGGTGAGACTCCATGCAGGGGACCATGAAATCTCTTCTGGGAAAGTTTGTGGTGTTGGAAGCCATGACCCACTTGAAGGGTTGAGAGAGGGAGCATGGTCTGTTCAGGCTTCTGCATGTCAGGTAGCTATACAAGATGGGTAGGGTGACACTGCAAAGGCTGTGGGCATTTGGAATCATAGAATCACAGAATCACTTAGGTTTAAAAAGACCCTTAAGATCACTAAGTCGTTAACCAAATAATTCCAAGTTCACCACTAAACCATGTTGGTAACCATCACGTCTACATGGCTTTTAAATAACTCCAGGGGTGGTGACTCCACCACCTCTCCGGGCAGCCTGTACCAGTGCTTGACCATGCTTTCTTTGAATAATTTTTTCTTAATATTCAATCCAAACCTCCCCTGGCACAACTTGAGGCCATTTCCTCTTGTCCTGTCTCTTGTCACCTGGGAGAAGAGACTGCCCCATACCTGACTAAATCCTCCTTTCAGGTAGCTGCAGAAAGCAGTAAGATCCCTCTAGAGCCTCTTTTTCTCCAGGCTAAACAACCACAGCTCAGCTGCTCCTCATAAGATGTTTTTAGATCCTTCAACAGCTTTGCTGTCCTTCTCCGGACATGCTCCAGAACCTCAATGTCTTTCTTGTAGTGTGGGGCCCAAAACTGAGCAAAGAATTTGAGGTGTGGCCTCACCAGTGGCAAGCACAGGGGATTGATCACTGCCCTGGTCGCGCTGGCCACACTAATTCTGATACAAGCCATGATGCCATTGGACTTCAACCACAGCTGCTCCTCATAAGATGTTTTTAGATCCTTCAACAGCTTTGCTGTCCTTCTCCGGACATGCTCCAGAACCTCAATGTCTTTCTTGTAGTGTGGGGCCCAAAACTGAGCAAAGAATTTGAGGTGTGGCCTCACCAGTGGCAAGCACAGGGGATTGATCACTGCCCTGGTCGCGCTGGCCACACTAATTCTGATACAAGCAGCTGCTCCTCATAAGATGTTTTTAGATCCTTCAACAGCTTTGCTGTCCTTCTCCGGACATGCTCCAGAACCTCAATGTCTTTCTTGTAGTGTGGGGCCCAAAACTGAGCAAAGAATTTGAGGTGTGGCCTCACCAGTGGCAAGCACAGGGGATTGATCACTGCCCTGGTCGCGCTGGCCACACTAATTCTGATACAAGCCATGATGCCATTGGACTTCTTGGCCACCTGGGCCCACTGCTGGCTCATGTTCAGTGAGATGCTGACTAGCACCCCCAGGTCCTTTTTTAGCAGGCAGCTTTCCAGCTGCTTTGCCCAAAGCCTATAGCATTGCATGGGTTTTTTCTGACCCAGGCTCAGCAGATAGCATTTCACCTTGTTAAGCCTCAGACCGCTGGCCTTGGCCCATGGATCCAGCCTGTCCAGATCCCTATTTAGTGCCTTCCTGTGTTCCAGTAGATCAATACTCCCACCCAACTAAGTGTTGTCTGCAAACTGACCAAGGTTGCACCTGATCCGCTCATCCAGATCATTGATGATCTCATCATCTTCCCCTATTTAGGGCTGAAACACCCAGATGTGGCTTTTTTGCTGTGAAGAGGCATAAATGTGAGAGATGAAAGAGATGAGATCCATAGTCACTGTGCATATGAAAAGGCAGGACATTAGGAACAATCCTTTATGACTGTTGAGATTTGATATGACTGTATGCCAGAGATGAGCAGCATGCCATGTTTGCAGGGATGAGAAGCTGAAGTAGGAGAGGAAGGCTGACATCACAGGATAAGTATTAAAAGAAAAAAATTTAATCAGAGATTACTAATAAAGTTCCACAGGAATTCTATAGTTTTCAGTTGCTTTTCAAAACTAAAATTTGACACTACCTTCGCTCCTTTCTGTTTCCTACAGTAAAATGTCCAACAAAACAAAGCACAAATCAAGAACTACACACACTTGGGGAGTGTGGGCCATCTACATGGTCTTAGCTGCAACCCTCTCTGAACAGCAAGAGTTGAAGCAGGTGTGTCCTTCATGTGATGCCACTCAGCTTTGCAACTGCTCTTCCAGGGGCTTGGACAACATTCCTCCAGGGCTCACAGCCAGAACCACTGTGTTAGACCTGGCCCACAACAGGATAAAGCACATCCAATCCCAGGACCTGCAGCAGGCTGTGAACTTGAGAATCCTGCAGCTGCAGTCCAATGAAATCAGCTCTATAGATGAGGACTCGTTTCAGTCCCTTGTGAAACTGGAGCTCTTGGACTTGTCAAATAACCACTTGGCTCACTTGTCCCCGGTGTGGTTTGTGCACCTTGTTTCTCTAGATCATCTCCATCTTCAAGGCAATTTTTACAGAGACCTGGGGGAAAGCTCTCCCTTTTCTAGCCTGAGGAACCTGAGCTCTCTCCACCTGGGCAACCCGCAGTTCTCTGTGATAAGGCAAGGGAACTTTGAGGGCATTGAGTTCCTCAATGAGTTGTGGATTGATGGTAGCAATCTCAATCAGTATGAGCAGGGAAGTTTGAAGTCAATTAAGAAGATAAATCACATGATCGTAAACATAAGAAGCATTAATATATTCTCAGCAATTGTTAGGGACCTTCTGCATGCTGTCACTTGGCTAGGAAATCAAATTAGCTGTTGAAACAAAAAGCTTGGTGCAGAACTCTATACGTCCCTTTAGGATACAAAAACTTACATTTAAAGATGCTTTGTTCACAGATAGATCTATTAGCCGAATAATAATATTACTAAAGGCAGTCACATCTTTACAAGAGTTAGAGGCAATTGATTGTGCACTTGAAGGGAAGGGAGAATGGGACATTGAAAAAATTCTAAGCAGTGGGCAAAGTTATGTTGAAACTATATCAATTATAAATATGATGATTCAGAATTTTCATTTGTTTATTGACCTGAAAGGCATGGAGTCACAAATAGGCAAACTGAAAAGGCTCACTATTGCAAGCTCTAGAGTTTTCATGGTACCATGCAGTCTTGCACAAAATTTTATATCACTTGTGTATCTGGACTTCCATGATAATTTGCTTGTAAATAATCGTTTAGATGAGACAATCTGTGAAGGTGCCTGGCCTTCATTGCAGACTTTAAATCTAAGTCAAAACTCTCTAAAATCTATGAAACAGACTGCAGAGTATATATCTCGTCTACCAAAACTGAATAATCTTGACATTAGCCAGAATAATTTTGGTGAG